TGACTTCCAAAATCTGGAAATAATTTATTATAGAAATTATTCTTTTTTAAATAACTACATTTTAAATAATTAATTATCAGTTAACATTAATTATGTTAAAATGATAGATACTTAAAAGCTCAATCATGGTACATAATACAGTATACAGTTAATTTTACAGTTTGCCTTTTTTATTAGGAGAGCAATACAAACGTTTTCAGGCAGAAAAATGAGTTGAGTTGCCTTGCAACTTTCATGCATATATATATACATGAGGAAGGGGTTACCTTATCTTTTGCATTAAATAGCTTCTTTCTTTGCTCCATATCTAGTTCTGTCCAATCCAAATTTTTATTTTCCATTTGGTTATCCTGTATGGCATTCTCATTTTTAAATGCAATCTCTTGTCTAAATCTGAAACAGGGAAAGAAAATATTAATGTAATTGGTTAACATAGACACCCTGTCATATTAGCCTAGTATCAAGTATGGTATCCCCTTCAACTAGAGCCGAGGTGGCGCAGTGGTTAGGGGACAGTACTGCAGGCCACTTCAGCTGACTGTGATCTGTAGTTCGGCTGTTCAAATCTCACCGGCTCAAGGTTGACTCAGCCTCCATCCTTCCGAGGTGGGCGAAATGAGGACCTGGATTGTTGGGGGCGATATGCTGACTCTCTAAACCGCTTAGAGGGGGCTGAAAGCCCTATGAAGCGGTATATAAGTCTAACTGCTACTGCTATTTTAAGTAAAAGTCAATTAATAAAGTTTCTAAACTTCCCCCCCAATTTTTTCCCCAATTCACTGTTTAGAATTTATATCCAAGTTACTTTTGCCAATACCATAGCATGTATATATTGTTAAACAATGTCCATTGACATTTCCTTGTTATTATAATTGGCTAAAAGTCATTTACTATTTATGCCCCATCTCCTCTCATCAGAGCCACCACCCCCCCAAAAAAAACCTTACACCCCTGACTAGAAATATATGTGTTATGAACATGTGTTATAGCGAGTGGCTTTGGTTTTCTAAAAATGTCTTATATGCCATCAACAGCTCAGAGTTCCTTTAATCTGGGCAGCCATACAAAACAACTAAATAAATGCTAGTTTTAAATATTCTGATTGTTTACCTCTTTCAAATAAACATTGAAAATTAAGTACTTTATTTAAATTAAATGATTACTTAAAACTGCAAGTGCTGAACTTGTCACCTTCTTGCCTAAAGAAAGGTAAAGACTCCCTTAAGTGAAAAATGACTTAGCAGCTATTACTCAAATTATTCAAATGCAAACCCTTGGCTTTAAACCTAAATATTGAGCCAAGTGTATCTAGTAGTTTTAGTGCGGTGCAGATATGTGATCCTCTCTGAATTTGACGAGACTTATTTCAAGGTAAATATATAGAAAATTGCAGCTTAAGAGATCGGCCTTTTTATGACTCAGGTTTTGGAAAGAGGGAATTTTCTATGATACATCCTCTTAGCTTGAGCAAGTTATTCTTCATTTCCTGATTGAATCTAATTGAAATTACTCTGAAAACGTTTTTCATGCCATAAATAACAGAAACCTCAGAGGGGAGAAAGGGGTCAAGCTGTTTTCCAAAGCACCTGAAGGCCATATGAGGAATAATGGATGGAAAACGGCCAAGGAGAGATTCAACCTGGAAATAAGGAGACATTTTCTGACAGTGAGAGCCATCAACCCATGGAAGAGTAATTCCCTTCGGAGGTTGTGGGAGCTTCATCCCTGGAAGCTTTCAAGGAGAGGCTGGACGGCCGCCTGTCAAAAACAGTGTAGGGTCTTCTTGGGCCTACAAGATCCCCTCCAACTCTGTTAATCTGTATCTGAAACCTGTTTTCCACAATATATAAAGGAATGGAATGAAATACTCTGGCATGTTATTGATCATAAGATTCCAACATTATGTTTGAAACCATATTTGAAATCTCTTCTTTATAGGAAATGAACAGTCCGTGTGGTGCATCACGATGCCTTTATCTTCTGGCTGTGCTGGCTAATTTGGAGAAGAACCACGGCCAGGCAAAGGCGCTGCTTGAAAAGGCCCGCTTGATAGGTGGAAACGAACAGTTTTGGCACAGCAGCACTTTTGCCCTCACCGATGCGATTTTAGGAGACGACCAGGAAGTAAATGAGAAAATGGTAACTAAACAATTCGTTTATTCAATTGAAATATTCCAGTAGTATATTCAGTATGTATTTTATAGATGGACAAATTACTCTTTTAATACTAGTGATCAATACAGACAGTCCTCTTTTAGCAACTGCAATTGGTTTGTAGCAAAATGGTCACTAAGTGAAAATCATGTCACCACAACTGTGCTTTACTCCAATTTTCCTTTGCTTTACAGCCGGGGTGTCAAACTCTATTCCATTGAGGGCCGCATCAGGGTTGTGTTTGACCTTGAGGGGGGCAGGGGGTGTGGCCAGCTCAATGTCACTCATGTCAGGGGTGCCTGTGGTGACTCCGCCAGCAACCATGGGCTCCCGAGCTCCATTTCTGGCTGCAACGGCCTCTTGCAACCCTTTGCCAGCGGAAATGGGGCTCAGGAGGGCTGCAAGTAGCCCTTCCGAGCTCCACCCCACAGGCCAGATCTACGCGCCCTGTGGGCCAGCTCTGGGCCACGGGCCGGATCCAGACTGCGGGCCTTGAATTTGACACCCCTGCTTTACAGAGTCAGAAGGATGTTTGCCTCGAAATGGATTGTTAGTATTTTTGACAGCTTGTTTTTTCATAGATGCAGGCTGGCCATTTTCTGCAAAAAAACATAAATGTCTTGAGGCCGTTATTGAAGGAAAGACCCAACCGAGAACCTGAACTGGGTTTTATAATAGCATGCTTTGAAGCCAGGTAATTATTACAAATTAAGATAGCATTGTAGTTTGGCTTTACTTTTATAAACAAATAATAATGCAATAGCAATAGCAATAGCAGTTAGACTTATATA